GAGAGAGAGAGAGAGAGAGAGAGAGAGAGAGAGAGAGAGAGAGAGAGAGAGAGAGTTCGCGAAGGGAAACGCGGTAACCCACATGCGGAACAGTCACGATAGTCACTTGAGAAGTAATGTAACTTGCGGAACATTCACGAAGAGCCGGAGAGCGTGAAGAACTTGACATATAAATTATACCAATATGAGAGAGGAAAGGCACAGAAATATTTTTCTTGTGAACATTTTTCGTTGACATTTATTTTCGTTCTTTCGCTTGCTTTTATTATCAAATATGGTAGTCCGTTCGTGAGTTTGATGTAAACATAATGTTACATCTTGCAAGAGCAGCGAACTTTGCCACTAAACCGTTATCTCTTCGCAACTGCCTTCTTTATTTTTCTAAAAGTTACGTTCTATGGGTTATCGTGTTTCTGGAATTCTTCATATTTACACAGCGGCAAACCGTCGCGGCGCGCAACGGTGTACAGTTTTCCTGTCGAGGGGGATGCGCGGCCGAAGCAGACTTTGCTATAAAGAGAAGATTCTTTCACGGAATATACCGGCTTTTGATGCCCGCCTTCAAAGCAATGTATACGAATATTTCATTCATTCGCGAATAGAAAGCGCGTCTCATATCTCTCTTTCTACGCAAAGTCTCGCAGACGTTATCGTAATCGAGTTCATACTTGAATCGTGACAGGAAGCTTAAGATTGTACTTCCGAATATTTCAGGAGTTACCGAGGTACTGTGAAAAACTGGAAAAGCGATAGGAAAAGCGTTTAGGTTGGTAGGAAGCTCGACTCTCTTCCTTCATCTCGGTATATTTTGCGAAGTTTTGCCTAACAATTAACTTTTTTGATATTTGTGTATATTTACAACAGAGTTATAAACAAATGTTAAATTAAAAATTATGTCTACTTTGAAAAAGAAAATAAAAATTAAACTAATATTAAATTGGTAAATAAGAGCCAACGCTAAATGTTTGTGCAAAAAAAAATATATATATATATTAAAATTTCAATTTTTAAGTTCATATATGATGCTAGATTTGCATCACATATATGAGAAATGACCGTTTCCCCTCCCCCTTCCATCTAATTTTACAATATTGCGAAAAAAAACACCTCGGCCAGAAGTCAAACCTGGAATCTCCCGCTTTCCTTGCGATCGTCTTCCCAATTCGACCATAAGTGCCTCGGTTGCCGAATTCCAGGTTCGACTACTGGCCGAAATGTTTTTTCGCAATATTTTAAAATTAGATAGGGAGAAAAACGGGTATTTCTCTCTCTCATATATGTGAAGCAATAAATTCAGCATCTTATGAACTTACAAGTTGAAATTTTCAATTCAAAAAATTCATGTATATAATTTACACTGAAAAATATACATTATATATGTATACATTTATATATTTGTTTTGCACAAACATCCAGCGTTGGTTCTTATTGACCATTTAATGTTAGTTTAGATTTCAAGAATCTCTTATTTCTTAGTTTAAAATAAAAATTGGTCTTTAAGAGTTTTTCAAAAAAAGATATAAAACGAATTCTAAAGCAAATTCTAAACCGTCCAGAAAAAAACTTTTTATAATAAATAAATATTTATACACCAATATAATTAATTATATATTACCGAAGTGGTACTTCAAGTGTTGATTGAAGTGTTAAAAAAAAAAGAATTGAATGTAATGATAAATGTTGCTTTCTTTCTTTCTCTCTCTCTCAACTTCGCAAGATATTTTACGAGATAAACAGCGGTTAGGTTCACGAAAAAAGCGGAAAAAGATTTCGTTAATAGAATAGCTAGTAGATTAGGGAAGCTTTGGGAAAGAAGAAATACCGCGGAAAATCGCGCGAGAAAATTCCGCTTTCTCTAAGAAATGGGTTTGTGAGGTCAGGTGGCGTGGATCAAAGCGGACACCAAGGCGATTCTTGCGATTCACGAGCACGTTATCACGAACAATGCTCGTCTGTCGGTGACCCACAGTGACTACAACACGTGGACGTTGAACATTCGCGGAGCACGGCGGGAAGATCGCGGGATTTACATGTGCCAGGTCAACACGGACCCCATGAAGAGTCAGGTACAGTATTACATTATAGCAAACTGTTTTACATATAAACTGTTTTACATATAAATTTGCTCTGTATTATTTTACGTACGCGAATTAATGAAAAATGTATGTTTTGCTCGAAGAAATCTTTTGAGAAAACTGTTTGTGAAGATTAAGTTTTATAAGCAAATACAAAAAACACTATGCATTACTAATAATTAATATTAATAATGTGATTACTTTTATCAGATGGAGAATTCCTGTAACGCGAAAATTTACTCCAAGTTGATTAATTTATAATTGCGTCCTCGGAGTTTTCCGCTTTAATTCGGTCGGCGGTTTCGTTATATATATTTTGCAACACTCCGTATAGCTTCTTCACACAGTAGTGAAAACACACACATCCACACTTCTCCGACACACACATGCATAGACGGAGACGTGTTATAATTTATTTCCCTTGCATTTGCAGAGCGCGTATTTGGAGGTGGTAATACCGCCAGACTTCATCCCGGAGGAGACCTCGAACGACCTGATGGTTCCCGAGGGGGGCTCCGCTAAGTTAGTGTGCAAAGCGCGCGGTTATCCCAAACCCGAAATCGTGTGGAAACGAGAAGACGGTGCCGAAATCGTCACGCGAAATGGCCAGTCCGGTGGCAAGACAAAACGTAAGAAATTTATCCAAATATTATTTCGTACTAGTCGCACGTACCTCTCTTCTCTATGTGAAAAGTGATATAACTATACAGTACCGAACACACTGAACGTGTAATATTGACACAATTAAGATTAATCTTTCTAAATGATCTGCAGAATTCGTAACTGTTATTCACATTATCATTCGTTAATTTAATCTAGATTAAAGAACAGATCATAGATCTCTTTATCTGATGATTTTCGAAAAACACAATATTCTAAATAATAACGTCTATTGTTTTTAATATTTCAATATTTTGTTAAAAGTTTATATTATTTAAAAATGTTTTATTCATGTCAAACTAGAGAAGACAAATTTGCACACGCTTTACTCTGTAAGGAATTCACGTCTCAGAAATAGCTTCATTATGATTTAAACGGTGAATTTCGTGTTTCGGGAGACATTATTTACGCGTATCTCTATGAGTTTAAGCTGCTAAGCCGATCGGATATTAATGTTGTACACTTTGATTACAACACGTAACGAGCTAACTTTCTTGCGCTTGCATATTGCAGAGCTCAGTGCAGAAGGCGAAACGCTGACTTTGTCGAAAGTAACGAGGGGCGAGATGGGCGTTTACCTGTGCATCGCCAGCAACGGAGTGCCTCCGTCAGTCAGCAAACGAATGATGCTGCACGTGCACTGTAAGTACATATCTACTAATCCTCATCTACTATTCGGGTGAATTAGTCTTGCGCCATCAAGGAAATTTTTCACATTTCAAATAGACATTCTCTGAAATCACACTAATTACGATTTCTGTGACTTTTTTAAACATATATTTCAGATAGTTGTTTTTTTTTTATGACAACCTTCAAATTTGCGTACAAAAATTGTCCAAAAAAAACTGTTCCGAAATTATAAATGATCGTCGATAAAGTGACAATTAATCGCGCGCGGAGAACGCTCTCGTAAACCGAGAAAGTAGGACGAGCGTGTTTGCGGGAGAATATGTTGTCGAGATTCGTTTTTTACTGGCTCGTATAACGGCACGATTTCATCTCCTGGACGTTTTCTCGAGCAATCGTCCAGAAGGTGTAAACTCCGCGCACTATCGACAGTAGCCTTATCCACGCGAGACACACTTCGAGGTGTGTAAAGCGAGCGGCGCGTTCTCTCGAAGGGAATACAAGGCTATGTTGCGGCAACCACGAAGAAAGGCGTTGCTTCCACGATGAGATAGCCGTCTCGTAGCCTTCTCTTGCATAATTTCGCCGTAGCTGTGAAACCGAGAGGCTTTCCTTCGTGAAAAGAAATCGTGGCCAGGGGGTGGAAAAGACCGAAGGTAAAATACTGCTTAAATAACACCGCGTGACGGAAAAGGTGATGTGGAAGGGGGATAAATAGGAGTGAGAGACCCCTGACAAGAGTGATAAAACATTGGAAGGGGTAGAAGATAATAAAATTACTCGGAATGATAACACACATAAAGTGTAAACGAGTTTATTTTTTTGAAACACACTGAGCATTGTTAAATTAATTCACTTTTTACGGTAGCTAATGATGAGAAAAACATCGGATAAAATAATTGATAATTATCGTAAAAAATTTGATTTCAAAGTGAAACACATTCATCAAAGGGGATTTCACTCGCCGTCCCTTTACAATCCCAAAGAAAGTTAAAAGGATGTGTAATACTAAAAGAGAGGCGAAGCAGAGAAAGGGGTGGCTTCATTGTGGTGCGACGATAGTGGGTTAAGCCGCGGTTACGACCGACCCGAGCGTGTCTTTCTTAGATCCCGGTGAGGGGAGAGGTAATTCCTTGCCGGAAATTGAACATACGTACGTACGCTTTCGCGGCTGCGCAGTCTTGCATTTGCCCCAAGCATCGCGATAAGATTGTGCGGGATAATCGAGTTTCATTGAAATATAGCTGTAGACGAGAGCTGTATCCGCAAAATTCGCGCGCGACCAGTTACAGTAGTCCCGGATAATTCTGAATTGCGAAGCGCGGATTCGCCTCATTCGGAGATACGGAAGTGTTCGTGGCGAACGATTGCTCCGAACGATCGCGTGATGGGAGAGTGTGAAGTGCCAAAGTTTCTTTGAAAACCTGAAGTATACACGACCATAGAATCACCGATGAATGTTTTCGCGTGCAATTTATTGCGATCGTTACTTTTGTCGGAAAATTACATACATTTTCTGACAATATAAATCCAATATATAATCTATATATATATATATATATATATATATATAATCACGATATCGTCAGCGCGGTTCTTCTCGTATAATATTAATTCAAACTTTTTCCAATTGACTTTCTAATAATAAAGCTCCGCAATTTTTTATTCTACTTTAAACGATACGCAGTATATATATATATATATATCCGTTAATAATAACTTTGCAAACTGTATGAACGATTAATACTTGCGGACTTCCACAAGCAAAATTATACTCGCGCAACTCGTCATCGGCATCCACGCGACGACAGAATGAAACTTCCTTCTAGTTAACTACTCGGAAAAGGAAGCCGGGAGCCCTGATCTAATCATCGCAAGATGTGACAAGATGAACTTTCCTCGGGAACTTTAAGCATTCCCACTCCTCGGCCGCGTCCGTTCCGGTTTTAACTTAGTCCCAACGTTTTAACTTCTCTGTTACATCTCTCGCGGCTTCTCCGTCGTCGCTTGTAAGTTTTGCCGCGGAACTCGGACGCGTAATTACGCGTTAGATAAATATGGTTGTGTACACGCGAAAGAACGAGGCTGTTGAAAAACGGCGCATGACACGCTTTCCACCGTGTCTCGCCACAATGCGGGAAATACCGTAACGGAGTCTCGACACGGTCTTAACGTCGCTTCTTAACAAAGACCCATTACGCCGGGAGTAATATACGCCATAGAAAAGGATTGAACGTTATCTTATCATCCAGCAGGAATACTCAGGTACTGGGTATATGTCCTTTGCGTCCAAAGGACAGAAAATCTTGTCTCACATAGATATTTCTTTGCGTCGCAAGCCGGAAGCACAACACACACATAGACACACACACACACACACACACACATATCAGACCTTCCTATAACGTTTCTAAGTTGACTTTATGTCGAGCCGCTGTATATAACCTTTATATATTGACTCTTTTTAAGTAAACCTAATATCATTAAGATATACTATCTGCAAATCACACTCGCGCGCAAATGTTTAAGATAAAACACGAGTTGACACGCGCTGTTTTTTGCAATAAATAAAGTTCGGATTATATAGTTTTATATCGTTATCTATCTCAAGGGGGCACATTCGATCGATGTAATATCGGGAATCGCGCGCGGTGCATTAAATTATTACACTGCATTAAATTGTTACGGCGCATTAGATCGGACTATTAGCGCGACGAATGCAATTTCGCGCCGTATACCGCATTAAGCGCTTTGAGATCGTTTCGCATCGCTTAATTAGCAGAGGCGGCGAAAGAAATCGGCCTGTTTCGCCGCGCATATTTGCGCCGCTCGATTGTGCTTTGTGGTCGGTTCTCTATTTCAGTCCTTCGCTCGAGATCGATCCGGTATCCATTATGCAGCACGGATATCGCATCCACGAACTTATTTGATTGATGTTCGAGGAGCTTATTTTGGCGTCGCTATATTATCGGTGATAGCGCATCGTGAACTTGCACACGTTACTGCATACGTAAACACGATAGAAATGCCCCACATTCTTGAGAATATTCTTCGCTTAAAATATCCCGCCAACAGTTTGCCGATATATATAAATTTATTACCACCCTTTCCCCCTCTCCGCGCCGAAGACGAAATTAATGTTATTTAATATTTCAGTCGAACGTACACATTAATCTTAAATTGACATATTATCAATCTGCGTTACACACACTAATACTTTATCTCTGTATGAATGGATTGTTCGTATTCTCGCGATTTAGGTTTACAGTTTGTCGTTATAATCCTTAACGATCCTGTATCGCGGCGGTCGTTAAAAGATAACGTTTTCTAAGATGGGCACTTTCGTAATGCCAGTAATAAAGATTACGCCGGCGATATCGAAATGCCAAGGCGATGATATTACGTACGTGGTAACAGAAAATTAAGATGATGGCGCGAGATAAACTGGCCGTTTTCTCGGCGAGTCTTTGGTCGACTCTTTATCTCGAGCGCCGCTTGGGAAATATATGCGCTCGCTTGTGCACACCGAAGATTCCGGCGGCATCGAGAGACGACACTTTTATGTGAGAAAAAAGAACATAACGGAGTGTTTCGTTGGTGGGATATACCTATAAGTCAACGTGTATATCGACACGTTGGAATAAAAATCTGGTAATTTTCGTTGAACGAATGAAAATCCGATATATAATCTCTTCAATGTGTGTTGCGATCGATTCTCACGGAGAGAGAAAGGAAAATCTGTTTCGGGGACATTAAATGAAAAAAATACTCTTGTGCCGCCGTAATGGAAATCCCGACACGATCGTGACATTAATAATTGCGAGACGATCGCGAATAATTAGCAATCATGACACACATGTCGCGATTGTGTCGCAAAATGTTGCCGAGCGAGAAAGTGCGGAAACGAATGATCAAAACAAAACAACAACATAGGGGCACTTGGGCGCGCGTTAATTCGAACTCTCGGCAATTCTGGACGAACAATTATGCGCCGAATTGAATCACGCTTTCTCCCCTAAGCACAACCGCGCGAGAATTGATTTATGAATCCCTTTTGGCCGCCGAAAAGAGAGAGAAGGAGAGAGAGAGGAAGTTTTAATTGTTTCGATTCGCCGGACGTGTCCCGCAAATCCGTCGCGTGATTTTCCGGCGGATTTACGAAATTTTCGATCCGCGTTCGAAAACTCTCGCGGCTCCTGGATTCTCGCGTACACCCGAGGCTCGATACAATGACGAATATTCGCGCAGGGAATTCTTCGTGTAACGTTTAGCTCGACGATAGGCGATGCGCGCTCACTCGGATAACAAACAATGGGGGATCGCCGGGACATTACTCTTAATTGCGAACGAGCTCAAAACTCGGCTAAACGCAAATCCGCCGCGACATTTCGACGCGAAACATTTTGCCACCAAGCAATTGCGCGAGATGCAAATCGTTGCTCTGCATTTTGCGCGCCGCCAGTTTATCGATATAAACAGACCCCCGTTCCGACCAACGATAAAAATATATTCCATCGTACATACACGTCGATGGTAGGAATACACGCGTGTTTTTCCTGTTGTTGTTTTTTTTTTAGATTTTTATATTTTTTTTAGATTTTTATGTTATATTTATAAAATCATTATGTATATTTTAAAACGCGCTATTAATACACAAAATGATACATGTGTATACAATCTTTTACATAAAGAAGTCGTTACATATTTTATTTTTTCTTTTCCATATCATTATAATGCGATGAATAATTAGGTCATCTTTATTATCAATGACAACATAGATAGAAGACTACGTAACATATATAGTCATGATGCGCGCTGAGAAATTGTTTCTTGCGCGATATATATACGGCAAAAAAGATATAAGGGACGTTTCAGCGGGCGGAAGATTTGTGCCTGGGGAAGATTCCCGTTAGAGGGACTAAGTAGCCGCTGTGTAAAACGCACTGTAAGCGCTTTGTGACGACAGAACGTTGGCCGCAGTCGGTCGAAAGAAGAAGTGCTCGGCGCGGTCGCCTGTTAAAACGTAAGCAGCTCACGAAAAGCTGCTTACGATATTCGAAACGAAAGGCAGCGTGACGCTGACGAGAGATAGAGCGAGACGGAAATGAATATACGGGGTAGCTTCCTTTTCGCTTCTCACTGGCCAAATGACAATCTGTCAGCGCGTTTTTCATTAGCATGAAAACAGACGCTCATGCAGCTCGCTAATGACGCACTCGTACAAAGAGATCGCAGTTAAATAAGGCAATTGAATTGTTTTCAAGTGATGTAATGTGTATTATATCCTTATATCCGCTTTTAAAACAAATCGAAAAAATATACTTTTGTGTCGAATCACGAGCGGCAACAATGTTCAATTAGATAAATTAATTTCCGACGTTTGTGATGGCATTGCGTCGCGATTCTCATCGTAATTTATCTGTGTCGCGACTGATCGAATCGTTATGATCGGATTGTTACAGTTCACCCGATGGTCCAGGTGCCGAACCAGCTGGTCGGCGCTCCGATCGGAACCAACGTCACGTTGCTCTGTAATGTGGAAGCGTCACCCAAGGCTATTAATTATTGGACTCGAGAATCAGGTAAGAAATCAATTTATGCGTGTAATTGTTGTCTAATTAACACCGAAGACTTTAATTAATAATTACTCAGTTAATTCAGAAATTCATATATCATAAAATTTAAATATACACGTAAAAAACTCAATTAAATTGAAATTTTGAAGCTAGAGAATATAACAAGAGCTTCCAAACTTAAATTTAATTTTTTATTGTTTTTTCTTTTTTGTGTATATTTTGATGTTTTTCTTGCACACATACGTTTATTTCTGTTGTGACGAAGTTTTGCAAATATATTTTTGCAGACGAAATGATAATCACCAACAGTAAATATTCAATGTCGGAAATGAAGATGTCGGCATACAGCGTGCAGATGCGACTAGTGATCATGAATCTACAGAAGCATGACCTGGGCGGCTACAAATGCATCTCGAAGAACTCTATCGGCGACGCCGAGGGAAACATCCGGCTTTACGGTGAGTTTCCGCGGTTAATGCGTCGACAAGGGCGAAAACTGATCGTAAAGTCTCTCAGAGCGAGGGTCGTGGAGCTTCTCGCGGAGTCGGGGAGAAAAACTTCGTCAGACGTAAAACGACGTCGTAACTCCGTCTAGGGTTAATGCATTTATTATATATTGTAAAAAAATTACTAGCGCGAGTCAGCATAGAGGACGGGAAACGAAGGTCGCGCTGAATTTCATTCACTGATTATTATTATAAACGTACTGTGAATTTTCAAACAATGAAAAAAAAAAAAAAACAAGTAATTCTCCAGAGACAAGTTTTGAGAGAGATTACAGAATTAAAACTTTTAATTAAACAGAATTATCTTTTTTTCACAACAGTATATTTAATTTTGCGTAGAAAAAAAAGAGAGAAAGAGAGAAAGAGAGAGATGCGGTTTTATGTTTTAATATTTTAGATAACGTAGAACGTCTCTCTTCAAAAGTGAGAGTGTGCTTTTCTACTAAAGTCCTCGAAACAGCCGCGAATATCGGAAGGTGTATTTTAGCGACGGTGGCAGCTGCGCACACTTCCAATGGCGAAGAAAGTACGGCGTATCACTGCGACATCGCCGTTTCCATTACACGCGCGATTTAATACGTCGCAATCTCGCAGAGCAATCGACGGCAACGATCGTCTCGCGTATTACATAACACCGCTGGTATTTTTCTTACCGTTTCATAACGATATGCCGCTGCGGAAATGACATCCCGATTAAGTTTACGTAGAGATTTTAAATATATCTGTTTTATGTGTGTGCTTCCTGCAATTCATTTTACTTATATCTTGCGTACTTTACAATTATTAGTAGAGTGCACACATTGCAGGTGTAAAATCTGATGTAAAATAAATTAGAAAGTTTTAGTTGAAAACAAACTTTTTTATTGTTGAAAAAATAAAAATAAACACCGAAAATATGAAATATCTATGTGGGCGCGCGTATGCAATGTTTATTTTTATATTTTATCAGTCTTTTTTCATACACACGCGCGTATGATTTATTACGCAGCAAATAAACAATAAAAAAAAAACAAAGTAACAACAATGTAGAGCGCCGGACACACGTGAGTGTTTTATATATTCTCGCGTAATCTCTTTAGCTCATCTTTTTAAATCGTCGTTGTGCGGCAGTCTCAGGTATTTATCTTGAAGAAAAAAATTACACGGTCGTCACACTACAAGATTATCGGTATTTGCAAAATTAAGGTTTCCGTCGAGTTTTACTATTTAAGATATCTTGGTTGGCGCCGCAAAATACAGATCGGAATTTTTGCAGTTTCTTAGCCACGTCTACGTCGTAACCGTAAGTTATTTCACGGCGCGCACAGATAATATCGTACTCTCTGTATAATATTTATGGAATTCGCTCCCATTGTGTGTCCGCGAAATACCACTATCGTCTGCCGGCGCAAAAGTCTATAAAATACCTGAGTCAGTCATCTTTAAAATGTTTTTATGATATCGGTTAAGACATGATTACAAGCCTTCCTGTTCTTTTTTTTGCAAGAAGGCTGTCCGTCTTTAACATCTTCCTAACACGTTTGAACTTTGTACACAGTACGTCAACAAACAAACTCGTATATTTTTCACATTTTATAATTTTTCTTACCATATTTAATATTATTAGTATTTATGTTGTTATGTTTAATAGCACGCGTAATAAACACATGTAATTAAAGGATGGTTAAACAACTAAATAATACAGCAATATATTGCGCGTATAACACGTCGCAACGGCACAGCTGACGCTACGAACGACAATAAGTCGTCATAAGCGGTGTCTCGTAATTTCCGCACACTGATTGAACGTTACGATCCGTTTACGACGTGCATGCGAACACACCTTTTACTGCCGAAAGATGAATGAAAAAAGAGCACATTTTTCCCGAACGATGCACCTTGATGCGATTCTCTCGCGAGTGTGTGTCATCAGCCGTAAATGCGCCCATAAATTTGAGCTTGCTTTTCCCGGACGTGTCTTTATTTTTTCACAGTTTATTAACCGGATTTCATCACGTAATTTTCCGCTTTACAGCGGAAGAAAAATTCAACGAAACTGTCTCTTTGCGGAAAATATAGCGTAATTAGTTTATTTACTCACGTGTACGTGCATTCGTCTGCTTTGTTATATATACAAACCAGCAATTAGTACCTATTTATTTTTACTAATTCTTTAAGAGTTACTAGATTTTGTGTTTCTGTTTTTTTTTCTACTTGTAATACAAGTCAAATATAACAACAACATAACGAGTGAGACAAAACGAGGCCTGATATTCGCGAATTAACTATTCCTCGTGAGCGTGCGCGCGCACAACCCTAATGACGGCAATTTTATCGTGCTGTCGTGTCAAGAGCGGGCGGAGGTACGCGCACGATGCTATCCCGGCAATGCTCGAACTTCTCGCTGAAGTCACGCGATCAGATAAGCTCGAAGGATTAACCGTTAAACCGCGAGCGTAAACGGGGCGCGAAGAGCAGGGTGAAAAGAGCGCGCGCGCGTCTACCGCCCGCTCCGAGGGTGCGGATTCGATAGATTTAAGAGCGTTGCAGAGGACGAGAATCAAAATGTTACTACACATACATGCTGGAATGTGAGAAGAGACGACGGCATGTTGGCACGTCATGTCGAGGACAGAAAGTCCGCGAAACAATATCCATCCACCCCTTCCTTATCGCGAATCGCGCCGTGCCGGTTTTTCGTGTCCTCTTTTCCACCGTTTTTCCGGAGATGTTCTTGTCACAGATTGCGCGCGGTTGGGATTATGGATTTACTTTGATAAATGGCGACTCGATATTCGACGCGTAACTCCCGAGGATAAAGATCGCGCGTTTTAAATTATAAATTTGCGGCTTTGATTTTTTTTTCCATAATAGTATGCAGAGGAAGAATCTTTTATATATTTGAAACTGTTTTTGGATATCGCGTAGTATTTTATAATTTATCGAAGATGAGAGTCGTCCGTATTGTTAAGAAATTGTAAAACGTTTTTTTCTTTTTATAAATTTGACAAATATATATATGTAAACACACACACACACACACACACAATTTCCACCATAATGACTTGTGTGTTCTAAAGTGGTTGTTCTGAAGACACTGGGAGTTGCGCGTTGTCACAAAAAAGCGCGCAGAACAATCGCGGCGATCGTCGGGGCGTCACGTCGTCGGTTAAAAGACCGTGAAACAATATCTAACGTAGCCGCCATTCCGCCGTTATCTCTCTTCTTGCTCACCCCGTCAACCCGGCCCCGCGTGTTCCCCTTGTCTCGTATTAGTTATCGTTTATCAGCCGGCCAGACAAAACGCGCCGGCCGGAATTGGGTGAGCCATCTGTTGCCAGACATGATCGATAAAAGTCTGCCAAGTGTTATCAGTGCTAAACTGCTATTTCGACGGGCTGCCGCACACCCCCTCTCTCTTCCACTTCTACTTCTTCTTATACTTCTTCTAACCACCGGTCTCTATACTTCTTCTACCGCAACCTGTCTCTTCGTTCGTAGCACAGCTGCGTAGTGGGGAGGGGGAATGTTGCAAACTTACCAATTTTACTTTTACAGAAATTGTTTGACACAGTTACAAGAGTCAATTTCTACAAAATAAATTTTTATTCCCATCGAGAATGTATTATGTAATTTTATAGAAATTATAATTTGTATCACACAGAGGGAGAAAGAGATAAAAGATCTTCATACATTTTGAATCCGAAACGTAATAAACGTCTTTTCCGCGTATCACATAGCTTTGCATAGATAATTTCGTGTTCGAATTAAATTTATTAGCAATATTACGAGTGGCATTAACCGAGTGAAAGGAAAATCAGATTGGAAATTACGTCGCTTGATGAGTAAGTAGCAATGGCTTTAACAGAGAGAGAGAGAGAGAGAGAGAGAAAGAGGTAGCTAATTTAATATCATTGAAACACAATCTTGTCAATTAGCTCTGTGATTTTGGTATTTAGTAGCTTCCATCGTAGTCACCATTAGCATAAAAGTTAAACATTCTAATATTACATGAACATAAACGAATCTAATTGCATTATAACGACACGCAAACATTAAACGTGTTATAATGAGATAAACAAATTAAATCTTAACAGGTATAAAGTAATTAATCACACATCTAATATCTCAAATCTGTATCACGGAATATCTTTTTTACGTATGCAAAAAAACTATTTAATAAAAATGGTGACATAAAAGAAGTGGAAATAGTAAATTATATAATCGAGAAGTTCTCGGATAATGTTTAATAGACGAGATTTAATCATAATGTGTGAGAGAATGTGTCTGAGTTGCGGCGTAACAAACCAGCGTGAAATTAACTTAGTTACTTCCTAACGAAGGAACGTATGATTGATCCTAACATGCGAGAGATAATTCCCCCTTCCTCTTGTATATAACGTTATATCGTTGCGCACTCCACATCGCATTACCTGCTATCACGTATCGACTTGCTCATCATTCGCTCGTTGAATTTCAATGAAACGTGCCGCGGATATTTAGTACCGTTGAAAAATACGCGCGATATACGTCAAAGACAAAATTATATTCACAGGAAATTCGTGTCGTAAATCTTGAAATAAATGTCATCTTTTGAAATCCATTTCCTGAGAAAATAAGATACGAAATTGATTTTTTTTTTTTTTTTTTCTCGTAAATACACACGTTATCTTAGGAAGAGGATTTTTCCGTTGACAAAACCAGCAAATCGATTTGTTTTCCATTGCGGGCAACGAACTGCATCTATCGTACGTGCGCGAATCTCAAAAAAAGAATTCTCACTTCACTTTTATTCGCCTCGCGTGTATCGAGTGACGTCGGGCGTAAAAGTATTGCGCGATGTCGCTCCATCCGGGTTCCGCACATGCGGAAAAAAAAAATGATATCTACTCGCACACGTATCGCCAACTACTAGCTGACCATAGTTGAAATAATGTTTCAACGATCGTGCTTTGAATTCGACAGCCAGAGAAACTGCAAGCTCGGCGCTCGCTCGCCGCGCGCGTTGTAACACAAGAATCGGCAATTCTGCTATTTCCTGTATATTTTGCTGTAAAAGTCCTCTGTTCATTGTATTTCTTCAGCAAATCTGTTAATCTGTGGCAAATTGTAGAATATTTTACTCTTCTTATGCATTTTAATGCTATAATAATAAATTTTTTATAAATTTGTTCTTTTAAAACCTATTGAAAGCGAATTAAAATATTATATTTTTCTTATATATTTATGTAAAATGTTTATGTATATATATATATATAAAATGTTACAAAAAAGAAATAACACAATGTTACAGACATGGAGCTGCCCAAGCACTCGAAAAAATCTGGCGATCGGCGATCGGATGACGACACGAACGAATCGATCGACGGGCACAGACTGAATGGCGTATCGAAGGGCTCTCTAAGGGAAACCGGATCGACGCTGGAACCGATCTTCGATGAGGATGACAATTCGGCGTCGACCACAACCAGAGAGAGCGCGTCGCCTGTGACGATTAGCATCGTTCTGATCGCGCTGCATCATTTGCTCGCTTCAACGTAAGATAGACGTAACCCTGTCCTTAAATCCGAGCTACGTTGTTCACTACACATGCTCGATTCTCTAATTTAGGAAGATAATAGTCCCCCGCGTCGAGTCGCGTTCTCGGCCGATCCACACAATTGCCAGCAAATGTCTACACGAACCTTACTAGTTATCACGTGGAAGAAAATTTATCGCAGACTCGATTTATGTCATTGCCATCGCGATCGAGGTTTTATATCGATACTGACGATCGAAACAGTGATTTAAGAAAGAGCGATTCAAAATTAAATTCTTTCAATTTAGATTCGAGAGATTGACTTGCAAAATGAAAGTTACATGCATAGAAATTTAATATATTTTACTTGCATAAATTAATAACGCGTAAAGTGAAACTGAAGTAAAATTGCAATAGATTTATTTAGCAGATAAATCGATATTGTTGAGATTATACTTTTAGTCGCATTTATATTTGAAATTTTAATATAAAAATCTTCAAATTTTAGTTGTCTTCCAAAGTTTATTTTAATCGCGACATCGCGTATACTACCAGCTTAAAATATAGCGCGATAGTCGAAAATCTTCATCTACTCAATGTGGCAATTAAATATCTGCATTTTGATGACATAGTAAATTCGCATTTCATAAAATAGCATTTTGAAATGCGGGAACAGGTCCTGATAATAATGTCTGCGTAAAATAACTAAAATTAACAGAGATATGAAAACCCGAGAAGCACGAAGTTAACGAGCAGCATATTAAATTAAGTCGGACGTAATACAACGTAGCGCGTGTCATATAAAAATAGTTTGCCGTACAGTCACGAGACGAGAAGTTTAAAAGTATAATACGATATGACGACTTCTATGCATTCAAAGAAGATATTTTTATTAATTAAAGAAAAGTGTTATAAATAGATAAATCGATAAAGAGAGAAAGAGAATACATAGAATATTATATTCTATTTAATATTATGTTCTATTTAACATTTTGAAGTAAAATAGTTTAAATTTCTAATTTTATCATCTAAAGACACAATTCTCCTTTTATATAAAAGTCGCTCGTATTTTATCAATCCAGCACGGTCGCTCTTCCGCTCAATGCCCGTGCAAATTAACAATCTAACGAATATCGACGAAACGTTAACGGCAGACCGAAGATCGTGAAATTTTGCTCGTGTCGTAGTGCGGCTACCGCGATTGTCCGTCTGCGGCTTAACGAGATATCTCGTTAGTAATCTCGCCGTCATCCAATGACGTAATTATTAAATCGTCGGTCTTTTTTAGCTCGCACTCGAAATGTCAGATCGCAGAAGTGACGGTTACACGCGGAATCAATTACGCGAACGTCGTCGTTTGTCTCGGGCGAGGAAAACACTTTCGACTGCCGCGCGAGAAATCGCGCGTATTTAATTAACGTGCGCGAATTCCCACCCAAGCGAATTTACATTAGCGGGCTGCTGCAATATCGATGTCTAATTCGCAATCGATTTTATACGATCAGAAGGAAAGATATCTATCGCGCGTGAGAGACACATGCAATTTTGCACGTCTTGGAAATTCAAATCATTCTTTTTGAGTTTTTAAACAAAAATTGGACAAAAGAAAGAAAGAGAAGAAATAACGGAGCATTGTGCTTTGATCAATTTCACTACGACAACAAACGTACATTACAATATTTATAATTTTAAGTTCAACAACTTCAGAATATTGAATTATAAAATTATTAATTTTTTAAATATAAAAAGAGATTTGGTTATGTATCAAGTATTGGTTAGATCTTTATATGACTTGTTTTATATAACTCTTTTCTTTATGTTATATTCTTTATGTTATATTCGATACATATATGTGTAAACTATAAATTTATATTATTCAATATGTAAAAATAAATTTGATGTGCTTTTTCCTGGAGAAATATTAATGCGCATGACAGAACGGTAATTGAAATTTTTTCTCATTAACATATTCGGTGTCTGAGCAATCGTACGAAATATTTTCATCGACAATTTCGTTATTAAATGTCTATCAATCGGTCTGCACGACGGAGACGTCTGTCTTTCCGACATCTCGATATTACTCAAACGGTTATGTCACATTTCTAATTTCTTCGATATGTAGTGCACAGATCCTCCAGCTTTATTCTCTCAGTTCAACCCGCTCTGAGAATATAACGCATTACATTTGAATGCATATCGAATCAGAATATCCTGGCAAGTTGGTTGAAGCTTTTCATTTTTATACATATACCACAATAGAAATTCATGATAGAGAAAAGTCGGTGCATGTTTCGTGATGTGCGCGCGAAAAATAGAAACTAGAATCTTCCAAATGTTTTTTCATAAATATTGTCTCAGACTGCCAAATCAAGAATTTGCGAATTGAGGTATAATAAATATTATAAAATATTTGACCATGAAAATGTACGAGTGAAAAGAACACGTAACGACAAGCAATAAATAACATTATCATTATTGTGTATTAACGTTATGTGTAAATAGTGTTGACATTTTATTTGAGCTCGCAAACATTAAGAATTATTATCGAGGAAAAATGAGGTTAATTCTCTTATATATTGTTATATGATTTCAAGAATAGAATATTTATTTTGCGCGCTTTTTTACACACGTTGACATGTTTTGCTGAAGATATTTTAAAATTCATATAATTCAAATAATTATTGACATTCTCATATACATTTATATCGGAAACTTTTAGAAAACTTGCGGTCCGCCGAAAACGCGACAAAAACGATGTTTTATACGTAACTTTGGCCCAGTCACAACGAGACACACAGACGAGAATAAACATGAGAGATAAGTGATTAGAAAGAGAAAAACGTGCCAAATAAATGCGCTACTTTTTTTCAGATTTTATTTTATGAAACAGTTGTAGATTGATTCTGAAAGAAATTTTTTCGAACATGCTCCTCATTTAGATAGCTTTTCTATCGACAAAACTATCGTCGCTCTTAATATACATATTTCGAGATAGAAATTTTCTGCAAACATTTTTCTTTCAAAGACATGAAAGTGTTTATATATAAAAGCAAGAAAGTATAATTAAGAAAAAAGATATTTGTCCATCTTTCTGTACATATAAATATGCATCTTTAATTAATATGATTATATATTATTAAGAGAAATATTAAATATTAAGTCCTGCAACTGGTTTGTTAAGTAGTTTAAAATACTCTTGTAATTTTATCATAAATTGCTCTTACAGCACACTCCGAGAGGGATTACATTCTTTAGAGAGAAACTTTAGGATCCTATTTCTCAGTTTTTGACGTAAAGGCACTCAGGTTCTTTTACATAAAAGTCATCCGGAACAATGAGTATTTCCAGTAGACAAAGAACTCTTTAGAACGACAACACTTTTTGCTATCGCTCGTTGTAACGAAGGCGTTGTCAATTAATACGTCATTCACATCTCACAGTCGCGTTATGAATGAACGATTAACGCGCGTGCGCGTATGGAGGTGTGAGATATTTTATACTCTTTGTGAGAATAATAATAATGTGCGCATCCGTCAGCGGTTTCAGTGATGAAAACAAAACGAAAAAAAAAAAAAAAAAAAAAAGAAAAGAAAACCAGTAACGGGCCAAAGTCGATCGCCGTCAGGGCTCGCACGATTGTTTCGTTATTTATTCGCAATTGGGCCTCGTTGTAGTCACAATCGGTGTGCATGCCTGTGTTTGTGTATGTGAGTGTGAGAGAAATCATCTCGCGATGTTTAATTATTATTAAGAGAAAAATGAGAGCAAAATGTCTATGTGTAGATTGTGTAAATTACGGAATAGGGTTTATCGAATTGTTGACCGTAGGTGTGTTTTACGAGGGTTATATATATATAATATATATAAATATATATACATATACATATATATAAATATATAAATATATATTTAAAGCGCGATAAGAGTTGTAAGGAGAAAGAAAACAAAAATCAAATCGCAATCGAATCGGCTTTCGCAAGTCATTCACGGTGAATAACGCGAGTCTTTACGCTCGAACTTACCGAGTTCTGTTAATCGATTGTTGTTGATTATTATCGTTTTATTATCATTGTTATAGTTGTCATTGCTTTTTAAACACTTTTACACGGATCGATTATCTGTTTCGTGATTTTAAGATGAGATAAAGAGTTGAGTGATAAAAATAAAAATTAACTATATGTATAACAATTCATATTGAGTAAAATATCAATATTGAATAAATTATCAGACAGTTAAGAAACTCGCAAACGCATCGCTTTCTGATTCAACAACGATTCGTAATGTAAAAACTTTGTAAACATAAAACCAAGGAATTAATGATGCGCGAATTTACTACTTCGATTGCATCGTTGCTAATTGTAGATTTCGATTACTATTTTGATTTGACACAGATCAAAGAAAAGATTTGATAAGAAAAATGTTAACTTACTCAATATCTCACGGTAATAAATCAAAGTTTTATACATTTTTTTATGAAATCGGCTATAATCTGTGCACTTTTACACGTGAGATAAAAAATGTATGTATAATAAGATATACAATAAAAATAATAATAACGATATAAGAGTACGAAATGTTCCATATAATTGAAAATGTTCGCGAGAAACGTGATGCAAAGAACGCAATCAAAGAATTTGCGAGTTGCGTCGCGAAATGACATATCATTTAACGATTCAAACATAATTTCATGATGTTTTACTTACATATCGAAATCTTCATACGCTTTGATCGTTCTCGTGGGCCTTCAATTCAATTCGCTTCAATCTATCGGTTGAGCGTCGCGCGGCGTATTTGGGATAAACCAAAGTATCGATATTTAACGCTTTTATTCTTAGTCGTTTAGGTATCGGATGTCAGTTCAATTGAATTAAAAATGCTAGAATATCTATCCGATATATTTTTCCAAGCAATTTTAAATATCGATATTTTGACTTATTCCTGTGCACATGTCACTTGAGGATCGATCCATTTTGCTGTATCTGGAACAATGTAAAAAAAAAAGTGCTTTTTAGTGTTATCGAGGTGATAGAAGAAAAGATTGCGCTTATATCGATCGAAATTGTGTGGGATACGAACTTTATGGACGCGCTGAGTTTTTAAGAGGCGAGAGAATTAACTAATTAATCAACGATTCCGAGAAGAGCAGAGTTAGCCTTGAAAAAAAGTGACGACACTGTCCGTATGGCCTGACCTTAATATATTTTGCACTATGTATACATGATATACGAAGCGCTTTTGTTTTAAATATTAACACTTAATTTGATTTTTTCAACCAAGAGAAATAGAAATATATTTCTAGCAATTAAAAAAATAATTATGTATTAATATTTAAAACAAAAAAATACGCGCAAATGGCGACTTATTATCTTTCCCATTATATTCCTATTGTGAATACTATTGTCTCTTCGATTTACCTTTTCCTCTCATCTCCTCAACTCCCGTCCCTGTCAGAATAAAATTGAAAAAAAAAAAAATTGTTTATAATAACAGCGACGCATCGCACACTGTACAATAATCTCACGCGCGTGCATATGCTATACAAGATATACATACATGATTAATGAGGATACGCATACCTGTGCATCGATGTAATTATAATTACTTGTCCCCCCAATCCGTAATAAATAAAATATGAAAAGCAAACTTGTACCAAGCCAAGCCACGGTTTATTGAAATATATATATTGTCGCCAACGGAGATATATGTATATGTATATATGTATGTATACACATATATATATATATATTTATATACATAAACATATTATGTATAGTCGAATAAAGAGACGATTAATGTACATTGTGATCGTTATTTTATTGAAAATTTTACCCCTTAATTGCCACGATGTAACTCATCAATTTATCAAGTTATTATAGTATGATATACAATTTTGAAACCTACAGTTTTATTTGCAAAGATATGTAAAACGTTGCAAAAAAAATTAATCCGAAAAATAGACACTAGCTTATATGTTTTTAAGTTTGCGATATTTTAATTTTCGCGACAAATTAATTGGTCTGTCGAAAGAATCACCATTTCACGTAGTTGTCTGCAAGATTGATAGAAGTAATCGATATTCGTACGAGATAGAGACAACAGTATTACTATGTCATTATAAGCGCTAGGCAATACGTTCATTACGTTGTCATTGATTACATGACGTTAATCGTGTAGGGAATAAATAATCCGCGTAGTCGTCAAGGGATTCATTTAGCAGTCGATCAAAATTCCGTTGCACGTGGACGGCTGCAGACATGTAACGATGTGGTAGTCATATAAAGCATACTCGCCATACAATGCGATTATAGCTGATAATTATTCCATGTAATGAGCTACTAGAGCCAAAATATCGCGTCGCAATACGTTCCCCATCCTGCCGTTACTCATTGTCGTGAAAATGATATACAAAAATTTTTAAACAGCACGTGTCCCTCGCGTCTTCTTGTCACAAAACAGTAATTTACACACTCACGCACATACATGTAAATTAATATCTGTATTAATTTAACAGTTACTTCTTTCTAATAATTTCAAATAAGGTAAGTATAATATTTAATCACACATACTCATTGTTTGAAACTCAGAGAGCCAAAACATTCTCTATTAAATTATAATATTTAATATGTGTATAAATAATCAACAGATTATACAATATAAAAAAATAAGAGCACAACAATTTATAACATATAAAAATTTCATTTTCTCGTTCGTAACGTCGTAATTAAATTATGATGTTGTATACGACTTTATGTTGTATATCGATTACAACGATATCTATTTTCAATTGTAACACGCATCGATATTGTGGAACTTTTAATTGTACAAACAATTTATATCATAGAGATGCTAATATCATCTTCGTCCACATATTCGTGCACGTCCGGCGTATTCAATTTCGATCGAGATTACAATTTCGAATATGACTCTCGTAATTGTGGGGACTAATTAATGTCTATTATTCGAATTAATTGGAACGTGACTCCGTATCGCATATTTTAACGGAGGCGATTACGCTTTAGCATTTTAGTACAAAATTTCGTATTCTTTCCGCGTAAAATAAACTTTTGTGTGAGACACAAGTTTAAGTAAAATTCAATATCTTAGATTTTTACAACATTATTGTATGTGTCAGTTTTCAGTTTTATCTTTTTTAACTATCGCTCTATTTTTACATATTGTCGTGCATACATAGATTTATCTACAGTTGTCTCGTGTTTTTTTTCATACCAAAAACATGCTGTTTTTTTTGTTATTACGCTCTTAATGTAAACTAGAACACACGGCTTGCGTGTTTTACAGCTACATTTTTATCTTTATGAATTCTCCTGACTTTAATTCACTTAATCCTTTTTAGGTCTCGTAAAATATATATTTGCCTTCCTATTTCACATTTCACAATCTTGATCTGAATGTAATTAAGGTACACAAGAATAATAAAAATACTTTTTTAATTCATTATCGTCAAAAGATAAACCATCATTCGTTCACGTGTTACGTAACAGCGCACGATTTGAAAAAAAAAAACACGATAAATAATAATATTAAAAAATATGAAAATATAAATATTTATTTCGATTCTTAAATGTAAGCAGAAGATATATAAACGCACATAACCGTTAATATGTATAATCAGAATATTTTGTTCATCTTTAATCCCGCAGTAGACTCTAAAGGGTTAATGTAGTTTAAAATGAAGGGTGCGCGAATGTAATGTGAGGCGGACAGCAGATCGCCCTCTTGTTACATCCGAGCGAGCTTTCGAGCTTAGCGAGCAATGGCCAAGTAAATTGCAGGTGCCGCGTACCTGCGAACCCTCGATGATTATTCAATTTAATGAGCTATTGTAGACGCCCTCTGAAACGTGACGTTTACACCGCAAGCGGCTTCCGTGCCGCGAACGATTGGTCGTTCATGCTCAACGAGTGCACAGGACGAATTCGGTCCTCTCTCTGTTTCCTGTCTATCCTGTTCATCGCTTCTACGAACACGCATGATCCTACGCGTGTTGTATACCGAAGCTTAGAACGTGGATTTGCGGCGCGACACCTCCAGCTGGAATTTCAATGCCGAGCGTAACGCGAACTCATCGATAATTAGTAGACACTTGGCGAATTAATCTGCGACGAAACGACCAGCTCGGCGCGGCTGGTCATTAATTAAGGACACGTTCCGCGAGGACGGTAAATCTACTCGGCATTCATTACAATGGGGTGAGTGTGTATGAAATACTGCCATCGAATAATTACCTTACTTTTTTTTTGCAAAAAATTTTCACGTAAAAGTTGGAGCAATCGCAGAACAATTTTCAAAAATTGTAAGGCGTCAAAAAATGTCCGCAATTATTAAAACATTAAGAGAGTATTATTTTTCAAAATACATTTTGCATGTAATACGTGAAAAATGTGTAAATTAGAATAATTTGCAAAACTTTGCATGAAAATGTCCAATTTGTCGGAATCTTTTAATTTGCGACTTGAAATATTTCGATAATCAGGTCTTGAGCTCTAAGTTATCGTTTAAAGTCCACTTCAAATTAATTGAACAACAAAGTTTTCGTTACCTACTTGCGCCCTCGAAGTTTAAGTCCGTAAAATCCTTAAAGCTTCGATATTAAATAGCTCGCCAATTAAGCCCTCGTGCAAATTCCTGCTGAGAAAACGTTTGACTACTATATTTCGTATAAGAAGATATTTTCTCACTGCAAGCAAATTTCTCACACGAAATCTGATGGTTTCTTATATGACAAAGAATTTTTGTGATAAGAGCTTTTTTTTCTTTCTCTCTCTCTTCTTGCAACACTACCACAAAGAGTGAAGAACGTGTGAATACTTTTGCGCCCACTGTTGTACATCCTGATCTCTTTTTCTGAGGCGAGTCACGAACCGGCCGGATGGACTTTCCTCGAGTAGTCAGCGGAAAAGGGTTTGCCTCGTTAATCCAGATCGGCGAGAAACGCCGGGAAGAATGACCGTGGCTATAGACGAGAAAGAGAGACAAGTGCGGATAGTTCGAAGAAAGAAGAGAAGAAAGAGAGAGAAGTCTTTCGAACGTCGATGACGAGTACCACAAAGCGGAAGAGAGATGAAACGAGGAAGATCGAAAAGGGAGAGGAGGAAGGGCAAATTGGACAGGGCGGGATGCCGAGAGAGGACTCGAAGTGGCAGGGAAAGGGCGGCTGATATTGTAAGTGGCTGCGAATCCTTTATAACTGAGAGAGAACTCTCGGGGCTGAACGGGGCGAGCTTGGAATTTTTGATGTAGTAGCGGGCAGATATGAATATCGGAAAGTTTCCAAAGGAATTCCGCAGAAGCGGCTGGCGAGGGGTAACGACGGGATTGGGTGAGGGGTGTAAGGAAAGCCGGCAGAGATGATACTGCACACACTGTCCGGAGAACACGAAGGCAACTTTGAGAAATTGCTGAGGAAACCGATAAACTTCGCGGGCGGACAAACAACGATTCCGACAGATACAGGGATTCCGATACTAAAACGATGCCACGCTCATGTCGCCTCGAACAATCGGGACTGCACTTATAACTTTGATTTTTCGCGAAAAATAAATTAATTATCAAGCGCGAAGAGAGAGGATTATTGACAATCTAAAAATTTTCATACTTAAATGTCTAAATTTTGTATTTTTCACATGGTTTTTCGGACGGTGAAATCCTCTTGACGTATTGAGGAAGTTTGCCCTAAGGATATAATCAACTCTATCGATTCACTTATATACGTGTGTTGATAGAATAAAGGAAAACTTTAACGCTGCCAATTATGCGTGCAATGCAGTATTATTCAATCAATATTCTTGTAAACAAAGTTGGTGCTTGTCAATCACTGTCAACTTGATGGGTAGCAGCACAACAAAGTATTATACGATAAAAAAGAATCAGAGAATAAATTTTATACAAGTTACCATACAGTCTTATCTCGCTTTTTCTCTGCTTTCTTTTTTATGAATAAATTTTCTCTCGGAAACTG